AAAGGTGAATTTTACCTTCTTTTTCTTCTTTTTCTGGGTCTTGCGGCTGGCGGAGCTTTGTAGAAGGGCCTGGAAGGGAGGGGAGGGTGAGGAGGTGGGGAATGATCCCGGTTTTTTTTTGGGATAATGGGAATTTGGGTCGTTTTTGGGGAGGATTTGGTTCCTTTTCCTTCACCTCCCCACTCCAGGAGAGCAAGGACGGGTGATCCTGAGGAAGTGCTGCTTTCTTCGTTATCAATTATTTCATTTATTAATGTTTTAATTAGAGTATTTCAGTTAAAATTTGAATTTATGTCAATTGTTAATATTCATGTCAATTGTTAATGTTTCGATTATCCCTATTTTAATTATCTATAGCTCCATTATTAATTCAATTGTTGATATTTAAATTAATATTAAATTGTTACTAATTATTAATCATTAAATTATTAAATAATTAATTGTTACTAATTGTTAATTAATGTTAAATTGTGTAGTATTTTATTTACAGTATAATTAACATTTTATATGTATTGTTATCTATTAATTAATCTATATTTATATTAATACATTCATATAAACAGATATAGACTATTAAACTATATAATTATACAGACTATTAATACAGACTAATTAATATAGACTATTAAACTATATTTAGCTTTATATCTTTATATATTTATACTAATAAACTTGTGAATTTTTTATAGATTTCTATATTTAAAATGTATTTTATTTATTCATATCTTATTTTATACTTTATGTTTTTATATATCTAGTACAAATATAAGATATATAATATATATTTCTAAATAGATTGTTTTATATATATATAAATATATATATTATATATATATAAAATTTATTATTTAGCAATTAATCTATTACTACTAATTATTAATACTAACAACTATTACAAAAGTATTTTCTACTTTATTTTACAAGTAAATATAACCATAAATAAATAATATAACCAATAAAAACACAAAATAGATCAATTTTTCCTATGAATATTTGATATGCAAATATCGACAAATTAATTTGATGTTCTCACAGGTAGCTAATTTTCATATTAGCATTATTAATGATTAATATTAACGATGAACCAACCTTGAGCTCCCCGTCCTGCACCTCCAGGTCGGATTTGTAGAGCTCGGGCTCGAAGGGGCCGCTCGTGATCCTCATGGGGCCGTTGGGCATCAGCAGCACCGTGAACTTGAACTGGGCCACGAACTCACCTGTGGGGACACAGGGGTTAAACCTGAGCTACGGCCCTGCCAGGACCTGGGGGGTGACACTGAGCTATGGCCCTGCCAGGACCTGGGGGAGAAACCCTGAGCTCCAGCCCTGCCAGGACCTGGGAGAGTAACCCTGAGCTACAGCCCTGCCAGGACCTGTGAGGTTAACCCTGAGCTCCAGCCCTGCCAGGACCTGGGGGAGAAACCCTGAGCTCCAGCCCTGCCAGGACCTGGGGGAGAAACCCTGAGCTCCAGCCCTGCCAGGACCTGGGAGTGTAACCCTGAGCTCCAGCCCTGCCAGGACCTGGGAGTGTAACCCTGAGCTACAGCCCTGCCAGGACCTGGGGTTAAACCTGAGCTCCAGCCCTGCCAGGACCTGGGAGTGTAACCCTGAGCTCCAGCCCTGCCAGGACCTGGGAGTGTAACCTGAGCTCCAGCCCTGCCAGGACCTGGGAGTGTAACCCTGAGCTCCAGCCCTGCCAGGACCTGGGGGAGAAACCCTGAGCTCCAGCCCTGCCAGGACCTGCAGGGACAACAGGTTAACCCTGCCAGGACCTGCGGGGCTGAACCTCCCTGTGCCAGGACCTGCAATCCCTGCTCTGAGCAGCTCCAAACTCACCTGGACCCATCCTCACCTGTCCCTCACCTGTGCCCGTCTATTGTCACCCCTGTCCCCACCTGTCCCCAGGTGTCCACTGCCCCCCCAGGTGTCCCCAGGTGTGTCCCCAGGTGTCCCCCAGGTGTCCCAAGGTATCCCCAGGTGTCCCCCAGGTGTGTCCCCTGCCCCCCCAGGTGTGTCCCCTGCCCCCCCAGGTGTGTCCCCTGCCCCCCCAGGTGTCCCCAGGTGTCCCCCGGCCCAGGCTCACCTTCCTTCTCGTAGAGGACGTTGAATGGCTGCAGGAGCTCGTGCTTGGCGCACTCCACCACGCCCATGCGCGCCTTCTTCTCGTCCTCCAGCGCCCTGCGGGGACAGCACGGCCCCGTCACACCTGGGTGCACCTGGGTGAACCTGGGATCACACCTGGGATCACACCTGGGTGAACCTGGGTGAACCTGGGATCACACCTGGGATCACACCTGGGTGAACCTGGGTGAACCTGGGATCACACCTGGGATCACACCTGGGTGAACCTGGGTGAACCTGGGATCACACCTGGGATCACACCTGGGTGAACCTGGGTGAACCTGGGATCACACCTGGGATCACACCTGGGTGAACCTGGGTGAACCTGGGATCACACCTGGGATCACACCTGGGTGAACCTGGGTGAACCTGGGATCACACCTGGGATCACACCTGGGTGAACCTGGGTGAACCTGGGATCACACCTGGGATCACACCTGGGTGAACCTGGGTGAACCTGGGATCACACCTGGGATCACACCTGGGTGAACCTGGGTGAACCTGGGATCACACCTGGGATCACACCTGGGTGAACCTGGGTGAACCTGGGATCACACCTGGGATCACACCTGGGTGAACCTGGGTGAACCTGGGATCACACCTGGGATCACACCTGGGTGAACCTGGGTGAACCTGGGATCACACCTGGGATCACACCTGGGTGAACCTGGGTGAACCTGGGATCACACCTGGGATCACACCTGGGTGAACCTGGGTGAACCTGGGATCACACCTGGGATCACACCTGGGTGAACCTGGGTGAACCTGGGATCACACCTGGGATCACACCTGGGTGAACCTGGGTGAACCTGGGATCACACCTGGGATCACACCTGGGTGAACCTGGGTGAACCTGGGATCACACCTGGGATCACACCTGGGTGAACCTGGGTGAACCTGGGATCACACCTGGGATCACACCTGGGTGAACCTGGGTGAACCTGGGATCACACCTGGGATCACACCTGGGTGAACCTGGGTGAACCTGGGATCACACCTGGGATCACACCTGGGTGAACCTGGGTGAACCTGGGATCACACCTGGGATCACACCTGGGTGAACCTGGGTGAACCTGGGATCACACCTGGGATCACACCTGGGTGAACCTGGGTGAACCTGGGATCACACCTGGGATCACACCTGGGTGAACCTGGGTGAACCTGGGATCACACCTGGGATCACACCTGGGTGAACCTGGGTGAACCTGGGATCACACCTGGGATCATACCTGAGATGGGATCACACCTGAGATCACACCTGAGATGGGATCACACCTGAGATGGGATCACACCTGGGATCACATCTCAAACACCTGCCCAGGAACAGCCCAAACCCTTGGAATCCCAACCCCATTCCAGGTACCCCAGGTGGAATTCCAACCCCATCCAGGTATCCCAGGTGGAATTCCAGCCCCATCCAGGTACCCCAGGTGGAATTCCAACCCATCCCAGGTATCCCAGGTGGAATTCCAGCCCATCCCAGGTATCCCAGCCCATCCCAGGTATCCCAGGTGGAATTCCAACCCCATCCAGGTATCCCAGGTGGAATTCCAACCCATCCCAGGTATCCCAGGTGGAATTCCAGCCCATTCCAGGAATCCCAGGTGGAATTCCAGCCCATTCCAGGTACCCCAGGTGGAATTCCAACCCCATCCAGGTACCCCAGGTGGAATTCCAACCCATCCCAGGTATCCCAGGTGGAATTCCAGCCCATTCCAGGTATCCCAGGTGGAATTCCAGCCCATCCCAGGTACCCCAGGTGGAATTCCAGCCCATCCCAGGTACCCCAGGTGGAATTCCAACCCCATCCAGGTATCCCAGGTGGAATTCCAGCCCATCCCAGGTATCCCAGGTGGAATTCCAGCCCATTCCAGGTATCCCAGGTGGAATTCCAGCCCATTCCAGGTACCCCAGGTGGAATTCCAGCCCATCCCAGGTATCCCAGGTGGAATTCCAGCCCATCCCAGGTATCCCAGGTGGAATTCCAGCCCATCCCAGGTACCCCAGGTGGAATTCCAGCCCATCCCAGGTACCCCAGGTGGAATTCCAGCCCATCCCAGGTACCCCAGGTGGAATTCCAGCCCATCCCAGGTATCCCAGGTGGAATTCCAACCCCATCCAGGTACCCCAGGTGGAATTCCAGCCCATCCCAGGTATCCCAGGTGGAATTCCAACCCCATCCAGGTACCCCAGGTGGAATTCCAGCCCATCCCAGGTACCCCAGGTGGAATTCCAGCCCATCCCAGGTGGAATTCCAACCCCATCCCAGGAATCCCAGCCCCGTCCCAGGCGGAATTCCCGGGATTACCGGAGGGTGAAGGGCATGGTGTCGAAGCGCCGCTCCACCTCGCTGAAGAAGGCGCGCGAGGTTTTCATCTTCAGCCCGTACTGCTTGGAGGGGTCCCGCTTGTAAATCGTGGTTCTCTGCCCCGCGTCCTTCGCCTGGAAAACATTCCCGGGGAATCCTCGGAATTCTGGAGCCAGCCAGGCCGGGAATTCCTGGGATTTCTCAGGGATGGAAGGCGGCTGACCTTTCCCTCGCCGCTGCTGACGAGGACGTCGACGGCGTAGACTTCGTGCACCTCGAATTCGGCTTTTTCGTGGTCCTTCCTGGGGGGAAAGGGGTTGGGAAAGCGGGAAAATCTGGGAATTCTGAAGTTTCCAGGAAATCCTAAACATTCCTGGGAATTCAGAAGCTTCCAGGAAAGGCAAAACCTTCCAGGAGACTCAAAGCGTTCCTGGGAACCCAAAATGTTCCTGGAAATCCCAAA